ATAAATCCTTCCACCTCATTGCCTTCCTATCTGCATTTAAAAGCCTCCTGCAAACCTACCTCTTCGACTATTCTTCAGGCACTTCCCTCCTCCCAACTTGATGCCTGGCACCATCTCTGTAAAGTGATTATTCTCCATATATTCACAGTATATTCTGTGAAGCGCTTTGAGACATCTCAAAGATGTGATAGGGCACTATATCAAATGCAGGAATTATTATTATTATTAAAAGTGCTTCAAAGTGTTACTTTAAATGAAAGGCCAACTATTGGATGTGACTAAAATTGTGAATTACTCAATAGAATATGTGTGTGCTGTATATTTACAGTAATCAGAATGAATTATTAGTAACAAATTTGAGTGAATGAATGGTAAGTCTTTGTTCTTGCATTTAATCCTGACAGTGAGGCTTGTTGGGAAAGATATCAGCATGAATGACTGTTTGACGTTGGAAATGTCACCTCGGGATGTAAAGTACATCTCCCCAGGCAAGCATATATATGTCACACCAACTTGCAAGAAGTTAGCCCTCAATCGAGATTAGTTTGGAGTCAAGTTCTGTCAAGTCTGCAAATCATATATTATGTTCCCTGGAGGAGACCTACTTTATGTTCCAAGGCATTTTTTCTGGCTTCATTTATGCTGCCCTTTTCCCAGTGAGCATTTTTTGAACCTCTATTGTTTTATTCTGACTTTCTGTTAACTCAACAAAAAAAGTCAGCAATAGCAATTACAGTATATCAATCCAAACAAATACAGATCAATCACACAAACTGACAGACAGACATTAACTTATCCATCCAAAAATGTACTCATACAATCCTACCTCCCAAATAGCAGATTTGATGGATTTTTTTAATACGATAAAACACTTAGGTCCAGGCACCATCAACAAATTTCCTAACAGACTGAAAGAAGACCAAATTTTTCCCTTCTTCAGATTTTAATCACTCAAGTCAGGTTTATTTAGATTCTATTTGTAAATTTTCGATGAATATTTACTTGCAGGAGTTTGCTCCAACAGATATATTAAAAAATCAAAACAGAGCCCAGTTTAAGTAAATTGTCTGGTCACTTCAACAAGTGTAGGTCTCCCATTACATGCCAAACAGGATCATCTGGCACTCAAGTACAAGGTCCATCTCAAGTCCTACATCTTCTACCATGCTTTGGGGACATCTTTTCCCTCCTCCCCCACTCAGCTCCCATCCCCAGCTCAGATGTTGAGCTAGTATCATTAAGCCCCTTGGGGTGTCCTCCCGATGTCAAAGGTGCTATAGAAATGTAAACTTGGATATTGTATTCTAAGTCACCTGTTTCACAAATTGAAACACTTCATTAACTTCAATAAAAGCAACTTGCATTTATATAGACCCTACACATAATGTCTAGGAGTGATTGAAGTGTAGAAGGTAATCCCACAGAAGATACAATGAAAGTCGTTCCACAATAATACATCTCAAAAGATTGACAACTTCAAAATGTTTGTGTCAATCTGCCCGGGTTATAGTTAAATTGATTAAGTCTTACATTGAATAAGCTGAAGGCATGCATTGAATGAAACTTCTTTTTTACTTTAAGTAAATGTTATCCATATATTGGAAACAATATCTCTTTTTAGTTAATGATCCATGGTATGCCGGGAGCACACAAGTTTATCTGAAAATCCAAAACAATTATTAAATTAACCATTGCACTGTTGGCAGAAGTACAGTCACTGTTGTCTCTGTGAGCTGATCAGCTCCATACAATAACTGCTGAAGAAAAATATGCTAATACATCAAATGAAACCATCAGTATAGTTCCATTTGTGCACAATTTGAAAGATCACGAGAGATATGTAACTGAACATAGGAATAATAGCAGTTGGACCATTAAGCCAGTTCCACACCTAATATTCTCGGAATTAGGTAAGCAGGATATGTCTCCCTTTGGGGACAGAGTTTGCATTCCAATCCAAAAGACACGAATTTCCATGTGTAGGTGGGATGCATGGAAATCTCAGTTGGTTTTTAACATTGCGATAGGTTTCCTCATGTGTTTGACACCTTGCTGACCAAGACAAAAAATTCCACTATTTCATTAGTTCATGGCAGATCTTAAACATGGTGATGGGTTTCTATTTGTGGCAGGTATCCAGCTGCCCAAATAAAAAATAAACCAATTTGTCAATCTGATTTTTTCAAAACCATTAATACCCTCACTTCCTAAGTATTTATTGATCACCTTATTCAATATTGAACATTTTCAGACTTAGATTTCTCCTGTTAGTAAAGAGGAATATATTGAATATTTTACATCTAGATTGCCAATTTGATAAATAATAGGTCATATCCAGCACAGACACATGGCCAAATGGTCTTCTTATTTGCTGTAAATTTATTTGGTTCTCTGGTTATGCATTGCTTCAATAACAAACATTTCCCTTCAATCTTAAAAAGTTATTATGGCAATCAGAGAGTGAAACTTCCTTTAATTGTCTATGAACTGGTCAAAAGTTAGGAAGGACCACCGTAATGGATCATAAGAAATGATGAGATGAGAAAAGATAATTTGGCTCATAAAATTATCCTATCCCTATTGCTGCACCTTTTATCAGGGTTCAGTTATCAACCAGTTACAACTAGAGACTGGAAATTAGAGCTTTTATCATTCAAGCTAAAAGGGTTAAGGGGTGCCCTGATAGTGGTCTTTCAGAATATGAAGATCAGTAGAAATAAATATCCAGCAAGCCAGCAACACAAATTTAAGGTAAATCAAATCACACAAATCAATAAAGGAGAGGTTAGAAAACGGAATCTTTACCCAGAAATTAGTTGGGGTATGCAATTCTCTGCCACAAACTGTCGCTAAAGCAAAATCCATATCTTATTTTAAAAGGGGATTAGATAGATGGTTGGACAAAATGGAACAATAAAAGAGATGGGGATCAAGCAGGAGGCAGGGATTAGATTAAGTGTCTCACTTGAAAAAAAATTACGCCACACTAAATGGACAGAAAGGTCAATTCATGTGCTGTAACATTCAATAATCATTTAAAATCTACTTTCAAAAGTTTCAGTAAACTTTCTCATGGTTAACACCTCTGTCCACACACAGACACACACACACAAACATACACACACACATACACAACTCAAAATCCAGAATATATATGTGACCTTACACTCTACATCATTGATATACCTTCTGCATTCCTTGGTATGCAGAAAGGGGAGACATTTGAAATTAGTACAGTCAGCTCCATTGGGGAGCTAGCAGCAGGTTAGGCTCAATGGGTCGACTGGTCTCCTCCTTTGGTTCAATTTCTAGGATTGCATATGATCCGATTTGCAGAATCCCTTCACATATTTCTTAATTTTTAAAAAACTGTATGTATCTCCTAGTTGTAGGTTCCTCTAATAGTCTTAGGGGTCCAGATGAACTAGGACTGATTGATAGAAGAGATCATGACAGGCTCCGAAACCCTCCAAAACGATGTTATTTGGGGCTTCAGATAGTCGAGGCTGACTGCTGACTGATCTGGAGCACTTAGACTCTTGACTTCACACCTTCTCAAAGCTCAAATTCTCATCTTCCCTCTGGGTGTGTTGAACATTTCAGCATCAATTTTCCATGTCTATTACAGAGCTCTGGGCCACTCCTGTACCCATCCTGGACGTTGTTATTTTCACTCAAGTGGTTATGTGAATACAGGGTGACCAAAAAGTAGTGATACCATTACATTGTCTAATATGTCTCAAAGAAATTATGATTTTTTTTAGATCAAAGGGTAGATATCACAACTTTTCGGTCACCCTGTATGCTTTGTGTAGTTTTTTTCGTTGTATTGTCTCCTGATTTGTTTTATCGGTGGAATTAGTAATGATAGTTGCTGGCTGTATGTGATTCTAGTATCACAATTGCCTCATTTACCCACATGTTAGGTACTGTGGTTTAATGTTTTTATAAAATAAAAATAGTTGAGAAATTTAATTTTGGAAGGTTAGAAATGTGATAAAGACATATTTCTTATTAAGATATTTGTTATTAAATATGCGTTTAAAAATGTGATAATCACACATTTATTATTGAAAAATCAGTCAAGAAATAGAACAAATGTGACCACTATTTCTCATTTATAGAAGCGACAACCATCATATTCCAAACTACATTCATCCAACTTTCTACACTTAACCTTAAAATCTTCTCTCATGTTACTAATCCGATAATTATCCTGTTCTTTTTATAGGTGCCAATCAGCACATCATAATTCCTTTTTCTGCTAATTTATTCTGTATCTTTTGCTCTATGGCAATAAACTCTTTTTATCTAACCTCTTTTTAAAGCTTGTTAATTTGATACTTGTGTTTAATTCTCTTTTTTTCTCTCTAGCCCTCCAGCACAAACTCTTGGTTCTATCAAATAGCTCATTTTTATAATAGGATTTTTGATCATCTTGGTTTGTAAATCCTTAAGATTACAGCCATATATAGCTTAGCATACTGTTACACATAAATGCCTTAGGCACCAGGCCACACTCCCACATCAAGGACATCCAGAGCATTTTAGTTTCAATGAACAGTTAAGGGGAGATTAGAAAGATTTTTTTTACACAGAGAGTTGTTAGGATCCATATTAGCTTTTAAGAGGTAACTAGATAGATATCTACAAAAGAATCATTTGCAGGGCGAAATGAGATTGAATATATTGCTCTTTTAAAAGAGCCAGAACAGATACGATGGGCTAAATGGTTATGTTCTATATTGTAATTTCCGATGGCTCCATGGACCTCTTGTGATCTGGTTAACAGGTGCTTTTTTAGTGGGGGTACTGATTTCCTGACTGATGTGTCTCAACCAGGGAAAGAATATCTACAGTTTACTGATGCAAATCCAGCTCAATGGATGGTTGTTCCATCTGAAAAACTAGCTATACAAACATCTGCCCCCTCCCCCAATTGCTTTCCCCAAAGAGTTCTGTGCTGTATCACTCTATGTATAATTCCACGTTATTCGTGGAGTCCTGTAGCTCAGTGGTTAGAGCGCTTGCCTCGGAAGCGAGAGATCTGGGTTTGATTCCTGGCAGGGCAAATTTTGGCCAAGTTTTGTTACTCCATGCGTCTCTCTTTACCTAGCAGTAAGTAGGAACCCGGTTGTTGGTTGATTGGTGGAATGCTTTTCTGGGGGTAATAATTCTTTAAAGCAAATTATAATAATAAATCCACGACTATTTTGGGGCACTGCTGTGTGCAATTGGCTGCCGCGTTTCTCCCACAAAATATACAGTCCATTCACTTTACAGTATAATCTGTGAAGTGCTTTGAGGCGTCTCAAAGATGTGATAAGGCCCCATATAAAATAAAGAGATTATTATTATATTTATCTATAATACAGCTAGAATTGTTATAAACTTTAGCAAATGTTGCTATGTATTTGTGCCATTGCCAGGGTTGTTAAGTATGTACATTTTAGTTAGCATTGACAAGTACCTGCACTACATTTAGCATTATGGCTGCTCTGTGCTGTGAAAGATGAAAAGCAAAATGTTCGACTTTGATCAATTCCACAATTGGAGCAAAATTGATTTGACAGTGAACAACACCAGAAATATATTGGTGTGCCTAATGGCTGCAGAAGTTTTTAAAGTTTTCTTCCACATATTATTTTGTTTACAAACCGAAAAATAAATCAATAAGGTTTTAATTTCAGAAGTAAGAAGAGATGTTTTTAATTGACAAGTTAAAGCCATGTTTGGATAAAGCAAAGATATTGGATCTCACAAAAAGCATATGATCTCTTGATTGTCAGTTTTGGAACCTAGAACCATAGAAATGTACAGTTCAGAATGACTTCTCCCTTCTGACTCTCAGACAGGGCCATTTATTTAGTCCCTACTTAGCTTCTCCTTTTCAGATATTTATATATAAATAAATAAATTATCTAATTCACTCTTAAAAAGTTAGATAGATTCTGCTTCAACCTTGCTTCAAAGTAGGACATTCCATGCTCTAAAATCCCTCTGTGTAAAAAAAANTCTCCTTACCTTTCTCTATGTTCTTCTGATAATTACCTTAAATCTATGGTTTCCGGCTCACTAACCAATGCAAATAGTATTCATGAAAGATATAGTCCCGACAAGATTGGAAACAATTATAGACATCGTGGAACAGAAAACATACTGAGCTCCATCATTTCATCAGCAGGTAGCATTTCATCAGCAGAATAAACTGTCAAGTGAATTAACTGTATATTTTGTGCGCGAAACATGGCAGCCAATTGCTCATAACAGTGTCCCACAAACAGTACTGGATTGAGTGACCAAGTATTTTTCATTTTTTTTGAGGGATTATTAGCCTCGAAAAAGCTATCCTCCAATCGACTAACAACCAGGTTCCTACTTACTGCTAGGTGAACTGAGGCGTGTGAAGTAATGAAACTTGCACAACATTTCGCCCTGCTGGGAATCGAACCCAGGTCTCTCGCTTGCGAGGCAATCGCTCTAATCAGTATGTTACAGGACTCCACGGACCACTCCTCAACAAATACATTTTATGTTAGGGAAAAAATCATAAATAATTACAATTCTTTTAAGATTTCCTTTTTTTTCTCCTCCAATTCTCTCCTGAGGAACTCATTCATGCTAAGATATATATCCATGTGTACCAATTATCTGCTGGTATCTTGACAAATAACTGTTCTATGTTTCTGCACCCAGACAATCAGCATCAACAAGCTAGTATATTACAGCTCAGCCTGATCCTATACTCATCACCGTCCACATGCATGAATAATTATTAATAATGGAAACAACAGCTGAATTCCTCCCTCTATATCTAAGGGGATATGAATCCAATTGTCGTGATGCAACTGTTTCTCTAGCTAACTCAGCACTATCTGTGCCTGAAATGACAAGATTTTCAGTCTGTTTGGCTCAGTTGTACAATGGGACAGTGAATTTACCTACTGAGCCATTTTAATTTTTTAAAATCAAATCAAGTGAAACACGATTATTATTGTCTATCTAGCAATGACAGAAGGTGACGATTAACCACTATAACAATGGAAAACTGAGACTAGGACACATAATTTGACATTGGAGCTCGTCTAAAGAGACATTCAATCCCTTCCATGCTGCCCTTCTCCTTGTAATTAACTGAAGATGTGCCATTAAGAAGTGATCCCAATTGACCCACTTTAGGATACTTAAGAACAAGTCCAGATGCGACCTAATAGCCCAAGGCTGGACATGTTTTCTCCCCAGCCACTTAACTAACATTTAAATTCTTCTATTAACTATGGATTATGCTACGCATTTTCCAGCTAACAGATTTTGACTCCACTATCGTTAAAATTTACAATGTTTACTCTTTCCTTCCTCTATCCATCGATTATTATGTGCCGCTTGTGTGTTCCTGGGATGTTCAGCCTGTGGCATGTTGGTAAGGTTCCAGCTGGCATCCTTAAACATACTGCTCAATAAACTGAAATAGGAAATATTACACTTTTAGAGGAGATATTTAACAACCCAGTTTAACTTCAAAGTACTGCAACATTTACTTGCCCAAGGGTGGATGACAGATATGTATTAGAGGAGAGAATAAAAAACAAGGATATGAAGCTGTACTGATTTTACATCAAATTACAGTTCCAAACTTTGGTTCTTCACAGATGAAACTTAAGAGTATATCAGTTGCTACCATATTGGCATCGAGGTCTTAGCAAATATAATCACCTTCTTACTATCACTAGTGAGTAGAATTTCCTTCACAGTTGAAGGCATCCAATTCTACAGGGCTCTAACCAGTGAAGATGGAGAATTAGGTTCCTCAGTCCGTCAAAGAAATCTATTGCAAACAGAGAATCATCCTTTAGATTGGCAGGACATGTTCACGTACTATTTTCTCCAACAGAATGCGAGGACATATTTTACAGCTCCAGATGCATCCTAAGCCATTTAATTGCTAGATATTTGACTCACAATGTTAGATCACCAGAGATCTGATGCATATTCAGTACTGGATCACCAGGGTTCTGATGCAGCCAGATACAACTACTAAAGATTAAGCAGTCATGTGTTGAGCCTGAGTTGCTGACCATTCACGTAAATGGTCCTTCATTGGCAAGCACAGACCTACTGAACGTAATTGCATGGTAGCCTTGAGTTGAAATGTTAGATTCACTTTGCATTCCTTTTTTGTTCACAACAGGGCATTTGATCAAATCTCAGACCTCTGGGAAGACAGTATAATGTAGAATTCATACTGTCTCTGCAATTATTGATCCTCTGTAGAAATATTTGATCCAGTAAAGCCTCTGGAACAGGACTTCAGGTCACATTTTGAATGTGGATGAACATATACCTTTGAAAAATAATTCCTCTTTGTTTTTATTTTGTACGGAAATTCAGAGCACCGGTGGTCTTTCTCGTTAGCCACAGGAAGAGGTTTTCCAACTTTGGACACCTGTGGCCGACATTAGGAATAGATTAAAAACTGGGAACTTACAACTGCCTCAAACAGCTGTAGCGTTTCCAGATATGGACAGGCTCTCAATATTATCACAGACACTCTCCATTCTCTCTGCAACAATGGAAAAAAAGATGCATATTCCTAGATGGATAGACATATTGTGAAGTGTCAAGATTCTTTGGAAATCTGTTTAGTATCTGCTTTCACACCCAGGAGGCCAGCAGTGGAAATCTGGCCTCTGAGAGAGTTGCCCACCATTTAACTGTCAGATTTGTGAGATCAGCCTATAATTGGAGAACGAGTCATGGTGGAAACTAGGAAAAAGTAAAGCTACTGAACATTGTTTCCATGATTTTTATTCTAACACCACTTCAGTCTGCTTCATATCCGCTGCCTTTCCACCATCAATAATTTTCAACTCTTTTACCATCGCTGTCTGGAACTCTCTTCCAAGATCTCTCTGCCGTGTTCTTTCCCTCTCTGCTTTCAAAACCGGTATAAAACATATAATTTGGACCACTCCCTCATCTACCCTCCTCCCTGCTTTGTACCCAGCTTGACCTCCCATTGTTGAGTTCTCAGAGGCTATCATAAAACCACAAGAATAAAGGTCAAGTGATTTCTACACATCAGGAGAGATCCAAAATTGAATTAAAGCATTTAACTCAATGGGAGCTGTTCATTATTCTAAATGTACACTGAGTTTTTCTTTTACATGTTAAGCCTTTCACTCCTTATTGTCACGCAGAAGCATACTGGGCCCAATTCTGAGGTGGAAACTGTCTGACACAGATGAAAGACTAATGATGTAGCTGTGACATTCAACCACAAGGTACAAGGCACCATATGGTGGGTGCTGGAGTATTACAAGCTTATTTTCAGCAGGAAGTCACAAACTATAAAAGCATTTTGCAGAAAAGACTTCTTTAAAATCTGTAACTCACACTTAAGTTTTAGCAATTTGCTTGTAAGTTTGTAATCAAACAATATAAAAAATATTGAGAATGTAGAGAAATTCCACCTGGGTTTAGATTTATTTTATTTTTCTTCATATTTCAGAGCATGCAGAATGAGGCAAATTTTTGAATTCAGTCTTAACTCTGCAGCCATTTATCTGTATGTCTTAAAATTATAACAAAATCTGCTTTCAAATGTTGACCGTATTTAAGAATTTGCCAAATTCTGGACACTCTGAAATGCTAAGAAAATAGAGTGAATTCCAGAATCAGGTAGAAGTTTGTCCCTGCATCACATTATTTCTTTCAATCAAAATTGTTCTCAACCTTCTGCAACATTGAAATCACTTGCTGAAAGGGATTTGATAATTAGAACTTGAGGCCCCAGACAATGGTATCCAAATCGTGCTCCAGCCAGCGGTGTCACCATTAGGATAATAGGATAGAGGTTGTGGAAGGATACTATCATATTGGCAACAGGCCTTTTTCATCTGAAACACCCTTGTAATCTTATCATGTGCCTAATGGCAAACACACGCTACCTGAACAATATTTCTCCGGGGAATCACCTCTACAGAGTGTAATATTTTGGTTTAGACCTGAGGCTCAACTCTCGCAATTCTATGTGCTGTACAGGAGATTCACTGGAGAAATTGCTGCTTAATTG